ATGGCTGACCGGCGGGTTGCCGGCGCGCTTGTCTCGGCAGGGGGTGCAGACTCCCGGTCACGCGCGGGTTTATTGCCTGCCGCCTCGACGTCCTTGAAGTAGAAGCACATCTCGTCCAGCGACTTGCAGCCGGATGTGATGATCTCGGGCGCGTTGTCCGTAACGATGACTGTGTCTATGACCAGCAGCGCGTACCTAATTATTCGAAAATTTTTGGAGAAGGTGAGTGTCGGTTGTTGCAGAGATACATTGAATGGTCAAGGCGTCAGTAGCAATAGACAATGTCGCATACCGCTTGCCGGCGCTGCTTTTGGCCTTGGGGTTCTCGAGGCTGTTGAACCCCAAGCTCAGGCCAATGACCATGTCCTTCTTGATAACCGTCGTCGACTTGGGCGAGATCACCCGCGTGCTATCGCGGAACTCCATCCCCATGGCAAAGCCACAGCTCTTGACAAAGTGCCCTTCGAGATCCACGCGCTCGTCCCTAATATATTGCAGCGCCTTGGAATACACATCGGCGAACTTCGCGCCGGGACGGATCAAGTCGAGTATCTTTTTTTGCAAGGTGAGCAGGAACTTGTAATTTGTTTCCTGCTCTTTTGTGGGCGAGATCAGGAATGTTCGGCCGATATTGGAGCAGTACGACTTGTAACGCACGCCCAATGAGCACAGTATGGTCCCCGCATGCAGGTCTTCCTCGTTTGAGACAGCCGATGCCATGAGGTTGTACTTCCCGCCGCTTTGGATAATGGGTGTATAGCACCAGTCGATAAGTTCGGATGACGCATCCAGTGGGAACTTGTACTTTGCGGCAGCCTTAGAGTGGAAGAGCGCGGAGTCGACTTTTGCCGAGAATGCCTCGTGCGTGACCTTTTTGCCCTCGTCCAGCACCTCCTCCATCTCGTTGGCAAAGCAGTTGCGCATCATGCACGAGCTCAATTTCGCCGCAGTGCGTGTCGCGTTGAGCTCGTCTTCCTCCTTAACCGCGAGCAGCGTTGCGACGGCCGGAGACACATCGACCTTTAGCAAACGATCCTCGATGTCTCCAAATACATCCAGCCACTCCATGGCAAACTTGCCCATTAAGACCTCCTTGGGCAGAATGCCGACATTTTTCTAGAATATCGACCATGGCAGAAGACGGTGAATCCTAAGTGGGAACACACAAGCCTTGCGTTTATGAGCTCTGCCGTAATCGAGTGTTGAAAACTTACGCCGCCCTTGCTGTTGAGTATTCCGTCGACGGCCTTCTTGAATGCCACTTTGTTGAGGCTGGGATTGGCCTTGGTATACTCGAGGAACACCCAGTCCATACGCCCGTCCCTTGGCTTAGCTTCCTCCAGGAGTTTTACTGTTGCCAATGATAACGAGTTAAACACCCCCCCTTCTCCGTTAGTACTGCTGGCCACTTCTCACAGTCTCTCTGAAAGGGGACCATGATCGTGCATGTCGCCCACCTTTCTTTGGGCTGGCGATCACATATATAGTCTTTTCAGTCATCACGATAGCCGTATTCGGAAACTCGTAGCCAAACAGCCATAGCTGTAGTATTGGTCACAAATAGTAGCAAGTCAGCACGGTATCTCTCTCTCTCTCCCTATCGTGTGGACTGCCTTTCATCCAAAGCACCCTGATGCCCTGCATGGATGTCCATACCTGTAATAACGGCGTCCCCTGATACAGTCGCTCCACGTCCGACGTCCCATTGACAAAGCACAGCGCGTCTACTTCCTTAAAGGCTGAGTACTCGTCCCGCGGATTCTACAGATACCAGGATCAAAGCATGAGCTAGCAGCCACTGTAGGGAAGGCATGACGAAACCAGGGAGGCGTGCGACACTGTACTTGCCTGCCACGCGTCGAGCAAGGAATTGAGGTGACGCTGTAGTGTCTGCGCATCAATCTTGGCTTCACTCATTGCTGAAGTGCAGTGGGCGGTGTCGCAGCAGGCGTACTGATGATTGCTGGTTCCTACCCGAAAGTACAACGCGACAAAAGCAGGAATGAAGGGAAATGGAAATAATACTCCAATCGGCTATGTCTATAGCTGCCGTCGTCCTCAGCAGTGCGAGAGTACGTACCCAAAATCAATGTTTTGTGCGCGTAGGCCTTGCCTTAACGCAGTACAATAGTATTTTTGTACATTAGCCAGCCGTGCGCGGGCGCATTTTTGCTATATAACACGCAATACTGTGATGCCAGCAGGTTAAAATAGCACCGCTGATCTGCGCAAGAATCTAATCAACGGAATTTAAAAGAAATCAAAAAGAGATAGCCTTGTGGCTAGCATCCCTCCCCGACCGGGAATTGAACCCGGGTCTCCAACGTGACAGGCTGGTGTACTAGCCACTATACTATCGGGGAATGATGGTGTTGTCACGGAGTGACTTGAACTAAGAGAGGATGGATGCAAGGAACTGACGACTAGTTCCAGCCTATGAGCACCACCTCTACTAGCTCGCACCTATCATCATTATCCATATTCAATTAACTACTATGCGCCTGTCTAATGCTGCTGCTGGAGTTGCCAGCTAGCATTATAGTAATGTGCTTTTCTATATGCTCCTACCCGATCCTGCTGTGCGTGCTATCCAGCAGGTGATTCTTTTATTCTTTGACCCGTTATAGTATAAAAAA